GCTGCTGCCAAATAAATGACAGCTTAATTTATGCCATTCTAAAGCTACATTACTGAGCCATTCAGGCTCGCAGTTAAGTGCACTCCACGTTAGAGCACCGCGCTGCTATAAGAGCAACAGGTTATAGTGCTGGTCTCGTTAAAGTGACTGAAAACCTGGTAATGTCTCACTAACAAAGGTCATGAATGCAGCTCAGAAAAAACATTCCAAGTAAAACTGAAATAGTATGGGCGAAGAAGATGTTGGTAGCAAGTATGCGTCACATCTTGTGCTTAAATATATTTTATATATTTTTGAATCAAATGTATGTAGTTATTAGATCAAGAACATAGAAATGCAGCTAGTATATCAAATATATAGAGTAGTCCTCTCATAAATACAGTATATGCATGGAAAATAAATAAATAAATTATATATATATATATATATATATATATATATATAGTATTTTATTTATTTATTTATATAGACATTGCGCAATAGCTTGGTTTCACAGAGACAATGGTATTCTAGGGTTGCTTTTATAAATCCAGAAACAGTTTATTCATTTGGAGGTGTTTAGGTAAGGCCAGTTGTTTCAGGTAGGGTACAAAAGGCCCACCGTTTATCAGGAATTGAAACATTTAGCTGCATGCAAAAAAATGCCAAACATGATTCAGACCAGCAGTATCTAAGATTGGTGAGAATTGAAAGTAAAGTGCCACACCATTGCTAAGAGGTTAAGATACAATTTTATTTCATTAACAGTCGGGGGTACAATCCAAAAGAGTATCCAAAGCATTTTGCTCTGAAGTCTCTGTAAGACTCTATAACAACAGAGAAGCAAGCTGAGACTCACCACTTCAGTATAACAGTTCATATAACAGTATAACACTAAAAGTATAACACTAAAAGCTACGTGTGATTTTTTCTCATAAAAGCATCCCTCTCAGTGAAGTAACTCTGGTAATATAGCTGAACAACTGAAGGGATCAAAGGACAGAAAGGGCACTATACAGGACATGTGGTATTCTGATGACAATTGGAGCGGGGCTCCCCACAATAGGTTTGGAGGAAGGGTGTACCCTACTGTAAAAGGGGTATAAGATATTTTCTAGGAGATACTTGGGGTGGTGAAAAGGGAAAAAAAAAAAAAAAATGAGATGGGGAGGTAAGAAGGAGAAACGCAGCTTTTCCCATACTTTTTCTTCCAGCCACCCAGCTTTGGTTCGAGGAGCAGAGGGTGATATATCAGGGACCTCACACTGGTCATGTTTGGTAAGAACTAGTATTTCAATGTCCTTTTAAAGAGTTTCACAAACTATTTACTGTTTTTTTATATACCATAACAAGCATTTTACTCACATGCTGTTTTTTCACCCTTTAAAACTAAAATGGCCTCAAAGAGTCCTTGTCAAACCAAGAACAAGGTCTCCATCAACATGTTTAATGGTACGTGAATAGCCCTAGCCCTGTAGCCTCAGAAAAGAGCCAGCAAAAATGATCCCAAATCACTAGGTTACTGGCAAAAAAGAGAGGGATAGACTGTTGCGGTATAACTACACCTGAATTAAAAAAAAAAGAAAAACCCCAGAGCTCCAGCCTTGAGCAAGTTAACACTTCGGAAAATAATAATCTCACAAAAACAAGAAGAATAGGAAAAAATCAAGACAGGTAATACAGGAAGAAACCAATGACAAGAAGAAATACTTAAATCAATAAACAAATCTTCATTGATGGCGACAGACCAATTTTTCCTGGCTGTGCAGTTTTCCAAACCTTTATATCACGATCTCAGGTAAGTATGAATATTTTGGCACCATCACAGTTTTTTTTTACTGAAATGAATTCAGTAATTCTTGCCAACTTCCAGCCTAGATGGATGTGGTGCCATTTAAACCCTGCAGCTTCGTCAACAGCGTCCCACCTCTCTGCCATAAATTTCTGTTCCGAGAATGTGTTGCCTTTATTGCTTACTAATTACTGGTTGTCTTTGTTGAACTGTCATGACTCATGAGCATATAAAGGTGTTTCTCTCATAAAGAGCTTGTAATATCTTCATTGTTTACCTGTAATGTGACACAGCACATGGTTCAGATACATTTATCATTTCTATTGATATGGGCTGGAAAATACATGCATTATAACTTGTCTTGATAATTGTGGTGTATGGCGCAGGCTAAATTCTCACTGACCATTGCCTTCATCCTTTGGTAACTGAGGCCACTGACAGTAGAGTGATCAGTTTCTATAAAACAAGTACAAAGCATGCTGTGAGGGCATAGACAACATGTCATGTCTGGACTGTTCAGCCTTTCATGTCTGACCTATCTGAAATTACCACAATTGTTACACCAATGTATAATAGCGATCATGGGTAAATACTCAAATGAGGTTATGAGAACAAAAAAAAATGTAAATAAAGGTGTATAGTGGAGTAGAATTTTTTATCCTGTCTACCTCATTTTATCTTGATGCCCCTTTTATCTAACAAGGCAGTAGACTGCACAGGTACTTTATATGTTTCTCATATTTATAAACCTTTCACATATTATTCAGAACACATTAGTCCCTGTCCCCTAAAGGATCTTACAATCTAATGTCCCTACCACACTCACTAGGGCCATTTTCTGGGGATGCAATAATCTTAACAATGCATTTTTTTGGTTTTATGGAAGACACAAAATTGCATTTGTAAACACATGGAGAAAACATAACGTTACAAAAGGAGTAGATACTGTCTAGTTTAGGAAGTGAATGTTCAGTAGATAAGATTAAGCTTTTTTAGGTCAAGGTGCCAGCAAAAATGCATTTACATGATTGGGTGTTTAAAGTGTACACAGGTTCATATTGTATAACCACTTTTCAGAATTAAAATTCAACACTCTGGCTCCTTTCACATGGGTGACCAGGATCAATAAAAATGAGGAGGCTGATCCACGTTTTTATGCCCCCCACTGGCTGCCCATCTACAAGTTGACATGGTGCCCCTTAGGTGAGTATACATTGCAATTTTATGTATGACATGTCCAGTTCTATAGGCAGCACTAGCTGTCAAACTCTCTGATGTAAGTGAATAGGCCCACAACAAAACCACAAACCAAATGTGCCATTTACTCTGACTAGCACCCCAGTGTACTTTCCTGACAGATATGCATTATAACACAGTACAGAAGGCAGAAATGCACTAACATGCATTGTGTTACAGTATGCTATAAAAAAAATTATTACAGTATATGCAACTTTTTGGTGAATTGTTGTTCATTAATTAGCTCAATTAAATAAGCCATGTGGCCATATTAGGTTAATGATGCCACAAACATCCCGCCCCTTTGGATATATGCAACTTGCAGGGAGGGGATGTGATGATGTGACAGACTGAGCTTGAGTTTGGACCAAACCCAGTTCATTCCTGATCACCAGCATTAACACAGCAGTGTTTTTTTTTTTATGCGTCCGTTGTTATGTAATTTTATCACCTATTGACATTGCCTTATTTTTCCACTTACAGGGCAAGCAGGCCAGCAAAATCGGCAGTTACATTTACAGGTCACAAGTCCCTGTCTGAGCTGCTGAATGGTCAGAGCAGCTGTCAGACAATAAGCATGGGGCGTGGACTGCAGTGGATTGGATAAAAGCACAGAGTGACCACTGTCCTGCAGATTTTGGAAAAAAAAAAAGGGGTTCCAGAGCAAAAGCAGAAAGGACAGGATCATCAGGTATTTATTATCCAATTATCACTCCATAATAACCATTATTTTACAGTCAAATACTTTTGCTATTCAGAAAAGGGGAATTATGGAACAAGTATACAACTGTAAATTTAAGGTCATGCCAAAATACCTATTATTGTCCATACAAAGGATGCGTTTTAAGCCATCGCAAGGAAGATTACATGCTGCCAGGTTCGGTGCCACCATATAGGCAGCTTAGGCAACTGTCTTAAGATGCCAGCCCATGGTGGTGGCCAAATCTGAATCCCCAGTAACTTGTGTATTGGGGGTTGTTAGCAGTACCAGCGCAGGGTGGATGGAAGATAGGGGGTTGGCAGCAGGGCTCCCTGTCCTCCCACACTGCTTTGTGCAGTGTGGGGTGGCATGGAGCCAGAGGGGGTGGGGAGTGGGTAACAGAACCATCGTGGAATGCCTGGAGGACGGGTGGTGGTCTAGCAGTACCAGCGTGGGATGGCTGGAGGACAGGGGCATGGGCTAGCAGTACCAGCATGGGGTGGCTGGAAGATGGGGGGGGGGCTAGCAGTACCAGTGTGGGGTGGCTGTAAAACAGGAGGGCTAGCAGTACCAGCCTGAGGTGGCTTGAAGACAGGGGGCTAGCAATACCAGCGTGGGATGGCTGGATGATGGGGGGGTTGGCTAGCAGTACCAGTGTGGGAAAGCTGGAGGACAGGGGCTAACAGTACCAGTGTGGGATGGCTGGAGGACGGGAAGTGGGCTAGCAGTACCAGCGTGAGATGACTAGAGGATGGGGGAGTAGGCTAGCACTACCTGCATGGGGTGGCAGGAGAACAGAGGTGGTGGGGGGGCCAGTAGTACCAGTGTGAGGTGGCTGGAGGACGGGCTTTACAACAGTAATGGGAGGGGGGGGCTAGCAGTACCAGGGTGGAGTAGCTGGAGGATGAGTGGAGGGTGCAAAAATGCACCTTTGCCTATGTAGACAAAAAAACCTTGCACCAGCCCTGCATGCTGCTTATTGCACTTTGCATTGGTGACTATAAAATGACATTTTGATGTGACAAACCCTAAAATCAGTAGCAAAAATCTACTCTACCACACTGCAAAATTTTGTTTGAGGCTGTAAGTATATGTAAAGTCTTAATGCCAAATATGCCATTGAAAGTTTTATATATATATATATATATATATATATATATATACCGTATTTTTTGCTCCATAAGAAGCACCTGACCATAAGACGTGCCTAGGTTTTAGAGGAGAAAAAAAAATTCTGAACCAATGGACTGCAGACATAGTACAGGAAGTGACCAGACACTGCGGACATAGTGCAGGAGATGACCAGAGACTGTGGACATAGTACAGGAGATGACCAGAGACTGCAGCCATAGTACAGGAGATGACCAAAGACTGCGGACATACTACAGGAGATGACCAGAGACTGCGGACACAGTACAGGAGATGACCAGAGACTGCAGACAGTACAAGAGATGACCAAAGACTGCGGACACAGTACAGGAGAAGGACCAGAGACTGCAGACATAGTACAGGAGATGACCAGAGACTGTGAAAACAGTACAGGAGATGGACCAGAGACTGTGGACACAGTACAGGAGATGACCAGAGACTGCGGACACAGTACAGGAGATGACCAGAGACTGTGGACACAGTACAGGAGATGGACCAGAGACTGTAGACACAGTACAGGAGATGACCAGAGACTGCGGACACAGTACAGGAAATGACCAGAGACTGCAGACAGTACAGGGGATGACCAGAGACTGCGGACAGTACAGGGGATGACCAGAGACTGCGGACAGTACAGGGGATGACCAGAGACTGCGGACAGTACAGGTAATGACCAGAGACTGCGGACAGTACACTAGATGGACCAGAGACTGTGGACAGTACAGGGATGACCAGAGACTGCGGACACAGTACAGGAGATGGACCAGAGACTGCGGACAGTACAGGGGATGACCAGAGACTGCGGACAGTACAGGGATGACCAGAGAGACTGCGGACAGTATAGGGGATGACTAGGGACTGCGGACAGTACAGGGCGGATGACCAGATGACTGCGGACACAGTACAGGGGATGACCAGAGACTGCAGACAGTAGTACAGGGGATGACCAGAGACTGCAGACAGTACAGGGGATGACCAGAGACTGCAGACAGTACAGGGGATGACCAGAGACTGCAGACAGTACAGGGGATGACAGGGCATGACCAGACACTGCAGACCTTTAGGGAGGGAGGGGGAGTGGGTACCTGAATTTGACACTTCCACTTCCGCGGATCTCTCCTTCCTATACTGTGGGCACCCGGCTTCAAAAACATTTTTCAGTTTATATAGTGAATGTTTTAGTTTGTAAAGAAGAATAAAAAACACTGCTATTTTTTTCAAACAGTCTAATATTCACTTTTCTTCAATTTTTTTAGAGGAACAACACAAATTTGATATATTTCTCTTCATGTTTTGATTTGGAATAGAATGTGTAGTGTTCCCAATGCATTTGTGTATATGGAAATAAAAGCTATTAGAAGGATTTTGAGCTTTATTCACGTTTTTCAACACACTGCTATTATTTTGAACACAACTGTATATACCGTATTTTTCACTCCATAGGACGCACTTTTTTCCCACCAAAAAAGGAGGGAAAATGTCAGTGCGTCTTATGGAGCGAATACAAAGCGGCCAGTAGTACCAGTGTGAGGTCCACTGTATATATCAATATTGTACCGCGCTCCACTATATTCAACCTTAAGTGATGAATTTTATGTGATGTTATAAATTACTAAGTGTGTCACCAATTATCTAATAATTATCTAAATCAATTATACTTAAGTCAATAATTATTATTTATATATAAATAAATTATACTAATAAATGTGAAAAAATCAATTAATAATTTTTCAATAAAAATCTGTGAATACAAAAAATGTGAATGCAAAAAAATATAAAAATATGAAAAATAAAAAAAAATAAAATATAAAATAAAAAAATAAAAAATGGGAATAACAGTTCAGTTCGTTAGAATTGAGATGGTATTGTGATTCAATCTAATCTGTGTGATAAGTCTGTGTTCACAGCATGAACCTCTCTCTCCTTTCTCCTCTCTCTCTCTCCTCAACACAGCCTTCTCAATAGGATTTTCTCCTCTGGCTGCTTGGCTTATTCCTCCATATACGATACATACAGAGAAGGGAAAAGAAACATAGTGTCTTATCCGAGATAACAATTATTTATTGAGCTTTGATCTCCCACTCACATGGTATAAGTAAAAGTAGCGCTTTGTGTAAAATGTATCCAGATCGTACTACAAAACAGCCTTGCAGGTGTGTTTGTCTTCATTGAATATACTCGCCGTTCCTCTGTGGATGCGTGATGACGTCACCGCCCCTCCCCTACGCGTTACGCTACAGGGACTCGTAGCTTCCTCTGAGGGATGTAGTTTTGCATGTCATCATGCACCAGTGTGAGGTCCGGTATTTCCACCACCACCATGTCAGAATACCGGGCCGGCCGCTCAGCTGTTCTCTGCGGCAGGAACTCACCTGTTCCTCGGTCCAGCGCTGTAGTCTTCCCGCCCCGGCATCTGTGACAGCCGGGTGCCCACTGCGCATGTGCGAGAAGCGCTGCGCTTTGTAAATGGCCCCGTCGTCTGCTGGGGCCTGTCATGTGTCCCAGAAGACGCCGGACCATTCACAAAGTGCAGCGTTTCTTGTGCATGCGCACAGTATATACAGTATATACAGTTGTGTTCAAAATAATAGCAGTGTATTGAAAAACGTGAATAAAGCTCAAAATCCTTCTAATAGCTTTTATTTCCATACACACAAATGCATTGGGAACACTACACATTCTATTCCAAATCAAAACATGAAGAAAAATATATCAAATTTGTGTTGTTCCTCTAAAAAAATTTAAGAAAAGTGAATATTAGACTGTTCAAAAAAATAGCAGTGTTTGTATTCTTCTTTACAAACTCAAACATTCACTATATAAACTGAAAAATGTTTGAAGATTTTGATTTCCTTTGAATCATTTAATTAATATTTAGTTGTATAAGCACTGTTTCTGAGAACTGCTGTACATCTGTGTTGCATGGTGTCAACCAACTTCTGGCACCTGTGAACAGGTATTCCAGCCCAGGATGATTGGACTACATTCCACAGTTCTCTATTTCTTGGTTTTGCCTCAGAAACTGCATTTTTGATGTCACCACACAAGTTTTCTATTGGATTAAGATCCGGGGATTGGGCTGGCCACTCCATAACGTCAATCTTGTTGGTCTGGAACCAAGATGTTGCATGTTTACTGGTGTGTTTGGGGTCGTTGTCTTGTTGGAACGCCCATTTCAAGGGCATTTCCTCTTCAGCATAAGGCAGCATGACCTCTTCAAGTATTCTGATGTATTCAAACTGATCCATGATCCCTGGTATGTGATAAATAGGCCCAACACCGTAGTATGAGAAACATCCCCATATCATGATGCTTGCACCACCATGCTTCGCTGTCTTCACAGTGTACTGTGGCTTGAATTCAGTGTTTGGGGGTCGTCTGACAAACTGTCTCCGGCCACTAGACCCAAAAAGAACAATCTTACTTTCATCAGTCCACAAAATGTTTCGCCATTTCTCTTTAGGCCAGTCAATGTGCTCTTTGGCAAAATTGTAACCTCTTCAGCACATGTCTTTTTTTTAACAGTGGGACTTTGCGGGGGCTTCTTGCAGATAGCTTGGCTTCACATAGGCGTCTCCTAATTGTAACAGTACTCACAGGTAACTTTACACCTTCTTTGATGTTGCTGGAGCTGATTGTTGGCTGAGTCCTTGCCATTTTGGCTATTCTTCTATCCATTCGAATGGTAGTTTTTTTTTACTTTCTTCCACGTCTTTCAGGTTTTGGTTGCCATTTTAAAGCATTTGCGATCATTTTAGCTGAGCAGCCTATCATTTTCTGCACTTCTTTGTATGTTTTCCCCTCTCCAATCAACTTTTTAATCAAGGTACGCTGTTCTTCTGAACAATGTCTGGAATGACACATTTTCCTCAGAATTTCAGAGAGAAATGCACTGTAACCAGCATGTACAACATTTGTTGCCTTCCTTCCTTAACCTCCCTGGCGGTATTCCTGAGTGTAGCTCGGGGTAGAGTTTTAGTACCAAAAGCGGTAACCCCAAGCTACACTCAGGCTTACCATGCGACGCTGCATAGGGAGTCCCTGCAGCACTTACCTTATCCTTCGCTCCCACGATGTGTCCCCTGAAGCGTCCCCGGCCATCTCCTCCGGCTGATGCCGGCATCCGGCTTCTGTGTTCCGGTCCCCGTGACGTCGGGACGTACGGGCGGCGGCGGCGGGGGAAATTTGAAAATTTAAAAAAATGTCATTTTTTTCAAAACACATTTTTCACAGTAAAACATTGCTGTTTCAACCCATTTCACATACATATTGTCCCTAGTGCTTTGTCCTGTGCCCTGCCTACATTTTGTCTGTCTTTCTGCCTGGAAACTTAGAAAAATCCATGGCGTCCAAAAAATGTCCCTTTAGGTCAAAAGAGGTTTTAGACCAGCTAGAGAACAGCGATAGTAAATCAGAACCACTTGCAGAATTGAGTGATAATGATTCGTGGGGGAAATTCGTAATCAGACACTGAAAACGATTTTGCGACTTTGCTCAGCAATGTACGAACTTGGCGCTCTATTTCAAATTTCAGTGTTTTCGGTTTGATTATATTATTGAATTAAATGTATTATTATTATTTTTTATGATCATTTATTAAATTATAATTTATGATTTTGTGTTTCAAATTTTATCATACCCGGGATGTTTAATAGACTCTTGTTCGGACAGATTTCAGTGAGTTATTCCTAAAAATTACAGCCTACAATAAAAAAACTACATATTTCCATGCAAAATAATGGTACCGCTTTCAGCACCAAAAATCTGAAATAATCATACCGCCAGGGAGGTTAAATAAGGGCAATAATTGCCACCTGGTTTTCAAAGAATGAATGACCTCACTAATAGAACTCCACACTGCTATTATTGTGAACATGCCCCTTTCAATTAGTGATTCAATTACACAGAATCAGCAGCATGCATGTCATGACTGTTGGGTCTGTTGGATTTCTATTACTCTACTACACCTGCTAGTAAATTATTTGCCATGTAGAAATATCATTTCTACCAAAAACAGTGATTGATCAGGTTAGTGATGTCTGACTGCTATTATTTTGAACACAACTGTATATATATATATATATATTATTATATATATATATATATATATATATATATATATATATACATATCTGTTAAGTAGATCCAAAAATACCTGTTGATTTTGCCAGAAATCTTGTGAGCTGATAACCTCCTATTCTTTCTGCAACGCTCAAGGAGGAGTTATGGAGAAAAGGGTATGACTAGAGGTTGGTGTTTCTTGTTGTCCATTAGAATTTATCTAGGCAGGGCTGACATCATGAGCTCAAGAATCTAGAGCTGTGTTGTCATGTTAAAAAGCAACTGTTGATGTGCATTTCTGGCACATCAACAGTTGCTTTTCTGTACTTGGAGCAGAGGTGGACTGACAACTCATGGGGCCCCCGGGCAATAGGGGATCATGGGGCCCCTGTGTCCTTGTCCAAACTCAAAAAAGCCTATGAAAAAGGTACCAGGGGCATCTCATGGGGCCCCCTACTGAACCCGGGCCCGCTGTCAAGGTCCTACCTTTTCCTGAGGTTATGTTACTCCATGTGCTGGCGTCCATCTTGGATTCTGCTGTGCATGATGGGAATCCTTTTATGCCTTCAGGTTTCTGTGGTCCATCCCCCAGAGGGGTGTGGCTGATGACATATAAGCCTGTGGCCCGCACATGCTCTTTGCACTTGTGTCTTGTGTCTTTGTGTTGCTATTACTCTGTTCTGACTCTCGTGACTCTCCTGCTATCTGATTCGGCTTGTGACTTGACTATTCTTTGTATTCTCCTTTGATCTGA